TTTGTATTTTTGTTTACCACATCGTACACAAGGAATCGCCCAGCTCCCCCTAACATAAATGAAATCTCACTCATAAAAGCTGACGTATGTCCGTTTATAGTACCAATAATCACTTTGAAAAATGACCACCATTCTTCAGACCTATTATTATCTTTGAGGGTCTTTCATGCCCATTTACTTATTCTCTATGTAAACAGTATCATTGAAATAAACGCGAGAGAACGTCGTTGTATAATGCACAGGACCATACTATTTCAAAATAATCTTTAAATATTGGCTGCAGTCGCGCGTACACATTTAAATAGTTTAAAACGCAATATATATTGGGGCGGAATATTAAAGACACCTCCCCCGTGACCATGGCTGTTACAAAGCATTCGACACGTCGGGCCGTAGTTAAAGTATTTAAAAAAAAAAGTTTAACGCGTAAATATAACGCGTTTTAAACCGTTTAAGTGTTTTATTTAAAACAATGTTTATCAAATTAAATCTAATCAAAAATCAATTAATTCATATACTACATGATTGTATTAAGTACACTTATCGACGTCAGTACAGTTAAGTTAAAACCTCTAATTTTACTACCAGATCCAAAACTAAGGGCGTTGAACGAACAAGAACAACTAGCAAAACACTCCTTCTATTCCCAATTTTCCCGATTAACTATGACTATAGGAAAGAATATTTAAGAACAAGCAAGAGTTGGGGTATAGGACTGGGGGGAGCCCTATAGGCCTTACCATGGTGAACGCTTGTTGATGAAAGACAGGTGACCATGTGTTGGTTTAAGGACATGCTAGTTTCAATCCGACGCGACTCTACTAGGCAAAGAGGGAAGTTGCAACAAATCTTATAGAAAAACAGTCATTAGACATTAAACAAGATAACGCTTTGATGACTACTTGCGCTGTTTAGATGTCTATTTTTTTAGTCTGTTCATTTGAACGTAAAAGAACGAGACGAGAAAGTACTGGTTCGAATCGAAAAATTACTTTTGTGTGGTTAGAGCATTTATCGACAAAGGCTATAAAAACAAACTGCAGACTCTATTTTTAGATATATATTATGGTTGTATAAATCTTTGTTTTGCACAGTGCGTATTCTGAAGACCCAAAAACTTCGTAGGGTCGTCGCAGAGTCACGTGTAATTGAATCCCCGAAGTTTGATTAGTAAGGGACGCGTTACGATTATTACTGCACTTAATGTCTGTTTTGTTAACCCTACATATTGATGGTCAATTTCACTTTTGATAGCTTGGCTTTACAATGGGCCAAGTAAAACTATTTCTTGCATATATATTTTGTAGGCTTTTTCGCCTGTAGACAGTGGTTTCAGAAGAAAGTTAACCTGTTTCAGAAAATTTAAAAATTGATTGGAAACATGTTGACCCGGAGGTGATCGAACCCACGATTTATTGATTAATAGGCATACATCGCATTATATCAATGAGCCCGTTAAAAGAGCGCTCGATTTCGATATTGTTCTTAATTTACATATTAAAATATTTACACACCGTTAAGACCATTAATAATTGGAAATTTCACAACAGCATTGTTTTTATTAAATAAATATGATAAAAAAATATATTTATTCTCATGCTGTCTGTAGTTTACGCGAGTAGTACACATTTAAATAAAACACACATAGTTAAAAATAATTTTCAAACAAGTATAACTAAAATATTTTGCGTTTTAAACCGTAAAGTGTTTTGTTTAAATATATCATATCATATCTTTTATTCAGAGAAGATTTTAAAAACTTATTTTTAATTTATATAATTGCGATTTATTATATTGAAAAAAAAAGTGATCTACATCTGTAAGTATATACTACTTGAGTGAAACATATATATGTGTATATACTAACAAAATTTCGTAGGAGAAAGGAGAATATGACAAAGACTTGTATATAGAGAAATACTATCTGTAAGTTTTAGTTAAATATTTAGATAGTTTAATACAGAAGAAGTAACGATTCAAAGTTTCAGGTATTCTCAGAAGCTGATAATGATATTCAGAATTGTCAAGATCTACACCTGGCGTATTAAAATAGCTCTTTAGCAAATATTTAGACGGAATGCCTGCAGAATACCCTGGAAGAACGCCAAGACGACCTTATTACAAAAAGGGTTACCTTTCGAAATATCGTACCTGTCACTTCCGTGAGAGTAAAAGGATCATCGAAGCTTAAAGTGTCTCAAGAACGTGTCGTTTAAAATCCAAGCGAACGTCCCATTACTTAGACACTTACTACTACTAACGATGAAGTTATTGGATATTATTTTAATATAAAACACTTTTAATGGTTTCAAACGCGAAATGTAAACTTATTTAGGCCCACCGGCCCACCCCCATAACGGCTACTTCAAAGAAAGAAAGATCCAAAGCGTCAAGCCATAGATAAAATAAATTAGAAATAAGTTAACTAATTCATTTCGCATTTTAAAAGTCTTAAAAGTGTTTTATTGAAATGTGCACTACTCGTGTAGTTTGACATTTGAAGAAGAATAGTATGCATATACAGAGAGATTGGGAACCACTGCCTAGTTTAATTATAGCAATAATCATCTATGCAATCAAAACGCTAGTGTCCAAACAGCTTAGCTATAGCTAATTGAATCAGTCACGCACATTCCTGCGCGCGCGCCGTCCTTTGAGACGCGCCGCGCTCGCATAATTACGGTCGAGATTGATTCATTGCTATATTTCCTTAGCTATTTGTTACGCCGGCCGTTTGTCGGTTTAGTTGCGCGAGTTGTTTTGCCATAGCACTGTAATAAGGATGTGATGGCTCAGTGGTTATCATCATATCTGTACTAATCTATACTCATTTATTTAAGCTGAAGAGTTTGTTTGTTTGTTGGAACGCGCTGATCTGAGGAAATACTGGTTTGAAATATTGGTCACACTAGGGAGGGGGTCCCAGAAAATCATGAAATTCGTGTGACGTACTTTATGGATGACCCCTTATTGGAAAAATCGATTCAGTAGTTTTTGCGTGAAAGAGTAACTAACATCCATCCACACATACAAACTTTCACTTTTATAATATTAGTAGGATGTTTTTAAAAAAATGTGCTCAGTCTCGAAAAAGGAAACATTAGCGATCTATTGAAGACAAAGTTTTCACTCACTACGCGCTACAGATTGGTAGGTGGGCTTTAACCACGAATTATTTGGTGATGATATCTCTTACTTTTAAACGACGTTCTAGAAAAGTCTAAATTAACTACGACTCAGAATTCGAACCTAAGACCTTGTGATCCTCAGTCTAAGGCACTAATCGCTAGATTAAGAGGCAGTAAACCTCAATTATGTTGTAAAAATGTAATTCGCGAAATGCGCATGCCACCAACAAAAGCACTTAAGCAAACTTCGTGGGCGTATATCAAACTTAGCAACAACGATTAAGATAAATACAGGTGTGCTATTCAAAGAGCACCTACTTAATAACTTGGCACGTGAAGCGAGCCAAGCTTTGGTAGTCCATTGGGTCTTTGAGATTTTTCTAAAATGGCGTATTTGTCAAATATATGCCATTTTAAATCTGGTAACTAAGTCCACATTATATATTGATCTACTATCACTATGATCCGACGATGAATCGTGTTTTAAACCGTTAGAACAATTTTATAAATGCTTTTTGTTATTACTATAAAATGTATTAACAAACATTTACTATTTTATTTTACGATGGGACATCGCACAGAGTTTAGTGTTGGTGTGTCACTGTGCTAAATCTTATATACTTCCATACAACAGAATTAGTTGTTTTTCGCTTGAAGAACAACGGAATCCTTGAACGACTCTCGCACTTATCAAATTCTTTTATAATATATTACACAAGTGAGCGACAAGCTTTATTAATACACCCAATGGTAATACAAAGTTTCTCCATACATCGTCTACCCGATTTACACGATGTTTAAGCTCACGATACAGGACTAAGTGCCTTTTGACTTCCGAGATTTATTCCGTGCGGTCTTAAGTTTGTTCATGTTCGTGCTTAAAATAAACAAACTTGTACACATGACTAGAAGAAAGAAACTAAACGTTTGAAAAATGTACAATTTTCACATATGACATTATATCATTTTAAAAGCTATTCAATTTTAAAAAAATCTACGATGACGTGTAAGACACAGTAGGTGTAGGTTAGGTTCAAGTTGCGAGCGTATCGTGTAAAAATATTATACATACATAGTAATCTCATCTCATTATTTTTTTATTTCATAAGGTAGTTTATTAAATTTACTTATTATGATCACAAGTCAAATATATTAATTATGTTTGTAATACATATAATATAAATTGCAAAGATAAGATTAAAGAAAATCCTTGCTGTATGAGATTGAATAATCTGAAGCGTGCAATTATTTTAAATTACTTTTAACAGCATTGTTTAAAGCCTACACTAAGGAATAAATAAACACAGTCTTAGCCAGATCGTAACTTGTGTTTGCCCAGACATTCACTATTTACTGTCTGCAGCACAACATAGGCTTAGAGAATAGGGGCGAGCTGTTCGTGCTTAATAGCTAATCGAGCTAAACATTAATTGCTCAAATTTATAATCTATTTATATTGAAAATCAGTGATGTCACAGGCGGGAACTGAACCCACAGCCACAACGTTACGTGTTGTTGCTCTAACGAAATGAGCGTGTTGTTGCTTAAATAAAAGGACACAAGAGGGAATCTTCTAATATTCGGTTATGGCAGACACATAACTGTGTCTCTTTCACCAATCTTTTCTATTAATAGACACATGTAAGTGATTCTGCCGTTTATGCCCTAACGAATCATTTTCGGTCAAGAACATGCTAACGCTAAGAAACGCTGACTGTTTTAAGAAAAATATAAAATTGTATTTTTTCGCATAAGCGCGCAATGGGTGAGTAAGAAATAAGATGTATTTAAGAAATTAAAGTTTTTCTAAAATTATTGCTTTCCTAAGGTTCGAATCGAAAACAGGATCATGATAACCATTCAACCATGGAGTCAGTGAACTTCATCAGGTAAAGAGGTGCTTACCTTTATCAATTTATTTTGGAGTTTCGTGACCGCCATGCGTTCACGCTGCGTCCTTCGTTTCTCCTCTTCAAGTTGAACTTCCAGCTGTTTTATTCGCTTTTCCAATAGTTCCTGCAATAGAGAACCAGAAATAAAGAAAGGTACTCCGGATATATCTCCGTTGAAAATTTATATTAAATATAAAAAAGCATGACTTTAAGGTCGTATTGTTATTTAACAACATGAATTTAAGTACAATATATAAAATTCCTTGCATCACAGTGTTAGTACCCGAACTCCTCCAAAACGGATAAACCGATCTTAATCCAACTTTGTATATACATTCGTTCGACCTTTCAATGGTTTTTTTTTCTATTTTTTTGCTTCTTTAACTTATATACTGCAACCTGTCACACTCACAATAAGTCACAATATTCTCTAGAAATAATTTATATGACAAAACAACTATACTCCGGTCAGCTAGTTATTATCTTATTATAATTATTTACACAGATCTCAAAGTCGCTACAAACGAAGTATCTATAGTTTACGCTAGTAATACACATTATAAAACATTTCTAACGGTTTAAAATGCGAAATGTATGGCTACAAACAACATTCTGTGCCGTTGCGTCGTAATTATAATACATTTAGCAACCTATCTTTTTATTAATGTTCTTTCCTTATTTTGAGAACTCTTAGCTTGTCCCCTTTAAGAGTGTGTCTCTGAGACAAATTAATGAAACAATTGAAAAGCCTACTCAGCAAATTAAGTCACAGATAGAAGGCGAAAACTCTTGGCGCCTTTTCGACGCATGCGTCATAAATAAGTTATATTACAAAGGGAGTGAAATCTCTTGGAAAAATCGCAAAATTAATGGCCGCCATCATTGGATATTGATATGGATGATATATTCGCACTTTCTTTTATCATATTTCGGTCGATTACCTTCTCTGTTACTTTGTAGTCTCTTATCAAGCTTGTTTGAAATGTAATAAACAATTTTAAGGAACTAACTGTGTCAGCGACTTCGTCCGCGTACAATAGTTATTTTGGGTATCCAAATTTTTAGGTATTTTGAAAATTTTTTGCATCGTACGCATCGGAAATCCAGAAAGATGAATAAATTACCCCTTTTTTCCACATTTCCCGCTGATTCTTTGCTCCTATTAGTCACAACGCGATACTTTAGCCTTATGTCTTCCTAATTAAATGCTCTAACTCAAAAAGAGTTTTTTGAATTTGAACCGGCAGTTCCTGAGATTAGTTCATTAAAACAAACAAACTCTTCAGCTTTATATTTTAGTATAGATTTTTTGTCATATCCGTTTGTATCAGTATAGCTTTAAAGCTAAGTTTAGGCTGAAAATATAACTGTTAAATAGCCGCAGTTAGAAGTAAGTAAACAACAAGTAGATTATAAGACCGATTTTTAAACAAATCACAATAAGTGTTTCAGGGTTCAGAAATTTTAAAATTAGAATTTTGTTCAGATATAAAAGCTAGAAAGGAAGGCTTCCGGCGATGACATTGAATACACGACATCACTTCGACTAAGCTTTGTGTTGTAGAGCTATTTCCTCAATGTAAACTCAACCTTTTTTTTACATTGTGGAATGAGTTTTATGTCTTGTTCAATATTAACATTCTTAAAAAAGTGTAAATAGCTTAATTACTAGTTATACAGTATACTTTTAATACATTTTGGTGTTTTAAAGTTATAGAAACAGCACGTACGCGAGATTTTCGAGAAATAAAACGCAATAAATTTCAGTCAATTTCATAATCAACACATTTTTTATATTATTCGGAGAAGCCCTAAATTTGTTAATGGGCTGTTTTAGCGTTTTTGATCAAAATATTTTTTATCTATTATTTACTTCTTGATATTTTTTGCTAGATTAAATTTTAATTATAAATGTTTTGTTTCTGAATAAACGTATTCTAAACATATTCATTTCTTCCTTCAAAGTACAATACAGTGTACATACGTATACAACTTCTGGAGTGCCCTCTTGCCAAAAGACTACAACTGTATACAGCCAGCATCATTTTTCACCAACTCGATAAATTCTTTACCCTCAAAACGTCAGCTCCAAAATAAAAGCTTTATTTATCTGTGTACATATTAGATGAGAGTGATTGAGTCTGTGGCTTAAAAGCAACTTTGGTTAGATTTGTTTATTTATTATCTGTGGTAATAATTGGAATAAAATGATGGGATAGTAAAAACTAGTAACTTTAATTAAGAAGTTATTGGTTTTAAATCTTCCATTTATACCTAATATTAAATAATTAAGCTATAACTTGTATTCTATAGAACTAACAGATATAACTATATGACGTTCTAAATACATTTTCCACTCTAAACAATAGCTCTTAAGTGGAAAGGTATCCTATTGTACGATTGTGTTCTCTTCGCTTTGTCTCTACATTCATTTATCTTGAGAAGCTCAATTGTGTCCCTCAATTTAGGGGTTTTCTCGAACATATCAATTAACTACTTATAAGAACAATACATTGCATTAGGTACATACCTATAGGAGACATCCGGATTTAAATTACAAATGTTTTAATTAACTTTTAATTTACTGTCTGTAGTTTACGCGAGTAGTACATATTTAAATAAAACACTTTAATGTTTTAATTATTAATTTACAAAACTACAAAGTTCGCTTTTAGCATTGCAGTAACTTATTATTTATTTATGTAACATATATTTTTAGTTAATTACTACCCAATAAGAAAAATATTATTAGTATAAATATGAGTCTACTAATTACAAAAACATTATTTTTAATAATAAGGAAAATTGAACTGCGCAATAACTTAAGCGAAAATGAATTCAACTATTTTTTGAGTAATGTTTATGTTAACAATTTTCGGTCACTGTACTCTTAGTAGATAAACATTTTTAGACAACATATACATAAGTCAAGTCATAAAATTAGGCTACTCTGCCTCTAGATCCTTTATATACAAGGCTAAAAATGCGAAATTTATTTTTAGTAAGAGATCAGTAATATTAAGTTCCGCTTGATATTACATTGCTGCTAATAATGTCAACTTCCCATGAAATTTTCAACCCTTAAGAGACTCTTATGAGCCCCGGGCAGAAATCAACACTCAATTATTTCGAGTCGATTTGGGTAAAAATGAATAATTAAAATGTCACTCGCGCGAATTGAGGATGGCTTGGACCCTGGAGGGTCACTTGCACAATGGGATGAGATTAACCCAACGAATTATATGGAGCCCCGTGAAACCTTAGAGAATTGTCGTTTGGTCCAAGTTAGACGAAGAGGCGTTGTAAACGCTTGAGAGAGCTTTTTATAAAATAAATAAGTAATCGTATATATGGCGTTTGTATGATATTAAACAGTCAATATTGTATATAAAATATTTCCCAGAAGCAAAAATATATTTTTATTCCATCATAATGACTGCATACCAATATTAACTGATTTAAACCAAACCTCGGTTTGTATGATAGAGCACGACAGGTAAGCGTGGAGTTCACATAATGGAAGGTGATACACCCCATTAATATAAGATATAATCCAGATGCGCTGTCGGCCTATTTTAGCTTTGGAACCGAAACTTGACGGCTTGTGTTTCGTGCTCTAGTGGAGGTTGGTAAATTTTAGCGACTCGAATGTGATCTCCTGGGTACGCAAACTCAAACTTTACATGTCGATAAGTAGGTATACAAATAGCAAAGAGACAAATGTAAAGAGTTTGCATTCTCTAAAATCCAAACAAACAAAATTAAGGTCTATTTTAAAACGCCAAACGCTTACAACTTAGACTAAGATTTGAAGTCCCCTTGTGTCCATCATTAGTGAACAATAGCTAATCTAACGCAGGGCACTTCATCACGAGGTCTACCGGACATAGAGAGGTTATAATTAATGCAAGATAAGAACTCAATTCATCTGAATACAAGTTTTACCTGGTATCACTGTTAAAAATCGACTTACATTGTGTCATATAGGCATGGCAAGGATTAAGAACTTTGATGAACGCAGACAGTGACGAGGTAAGTTAGCTTAATTAGTGCAACGCTGGTTCTATTCCTGTCTGTGTTTTTTTTTTAATTTAAAAATTTTCAACTCTTACTTACTTTACAAATCTTACTACAAAAGAAAGGCTTAATGGCGTAGCGAATAAATTTCAGATACTAAAAGTTACATTATAGTCTTTATGTTGAAGTTGAAGTTATAAATTCTGGATATTATATTATAATGTGATAAAGTAAAGTATTTTATAATTTTGCACAATATCTTAAAAGACTTAGGTCATGTTATAAATTATTTTTCGGTTTTCCTTAAGCATACTTAACTACAGGAGTAGCAATATTAAAATTTATTTTACAATTTCATACTTCATACAAATATTGCCATATAGCACATAAAGCAGTTATTTAACTTTTAAATTACAAAGTAAATTTAAAGCATACTAGTCATTAAACAAATAAAAAAAAAATACAGAGATCAATACAAGTGTTCGTTGTCACTCTTTAAAGATAATAAAATATTTAAAATCAACCGACACTCAATAGCTATGTCATAAATCCGGATAAAGTAATTAATTTATCATATTGTCTAGTCAATTTAAGTACATATTATATTGCAGTCATTATGTATAATAGCTATTTAATCACTATGACTGTAACATGGATTAAATGCAAAAGTATTTTTCACTTAAATACATAATTTTTATATGTACGTTAATTGGGAATACAGACGTACGTCGATACAAAACTACTAGTAATCTACATTTATATTAATCGAAAAAACCTTTCAACTGCTTTATTCTTTTGTAAGGGCTTTGTCCCTTTTCATTTGTCCAGTGGGTGTGTCGCAGAAAGATTGATGACAGCAACCCTTCCATAGGGACCGATGTTGCAAACAGACAAAAAATACGCGACGAATTCGAAGGCGAACCTTTTGAAGAAGAGTGAGGACTAAATTAGCGATTAAATGCCGTAATTGTAGAGTAGCGGCAAATGTTTGTGTCCGTTTAACTAACCGATTTCATTTACCTAATTTTTATCTATCCAACCGAAACTATAAGGTCTTCTCGGGATAGGAACCCAGAACCGTTTGAGCTGAACGCTATGCTAGACAAA